CCAGCAGGGAGGGGTGGGGGGGGGGGGGGGTGAGAAGACAAAACTGGGGTAATTCCTTTGGTTCCCAGATGGGCAGTGATCCTATTGGGCCACTGAGTTTTGGAGGTACTTGATTTAGTTTCTTATCACCCCATGAAACTCATGACCATAGAAAAGTGACTTTTTTCATGGATGTTGAAAACTGGCCTTTTGTGAGCTTTTTACTCTATACTGTACAGATTTCACATGGGAGGTCAGTGTTTCTCAAATTGGGGGTTCTGACCCAAAATGGAATTGCAAGGGGAAAAGGGTTATGGTTTTGCCCCCCTTATGTTACAGGGGACTTCAGAGCTGGGCAGCCAGAGAGTGAAGACTGTTGACTAGGCACTCAACTCTAAAGGCAGCAGCCTGCCAGCAGCAAAACAGAATTAAGATGGCAATACTATCCCATGCCATTCTTTCTTCTGCACTGCTGCTGGTGGCACTGTACCTTCTCAGCTGGTCTCCTTGCCAGCAGCTCTGGCTTTCAGCTGCCCAGCTCTGAATGCAGTGTTGCTGCGAGCAGCATGCAGGGTAGCAGTATTGCCACCCTGCCTAAAGCAACCCCTTAATCCCCTCTCACTTCCTTTCTGGGACAGGACCCTTACAATTACAACCCTGAAATGTCACATTTCATGACTCACAACATGCAACTTACTTTTTAAAATCCTAGGATTGTGAAACTGTCCAAAAAGGACCACAAATTTGGTAAAGCTTTGTGGCAAACAGCTTGACCCAAATTGGGAATGTGGAGAGGCCTGGCATTGAATGAACCATGGAAATGGTCCCTTAGTTCTTAACTTGGGTCACTCTGCTGGTGAAGGAGGCGCTCTTGCTCTTGCTCTTGCTATCAAAATCAGGGATCATGGGATGTTTCATATACCCAATTGTCTGTGGTGAGCTGACTTCACCTATCTCTCCTCTCTGTTGCTGCCCCCAGACAGCAATCAAGAGGAACAACCCTCGGAAGTTCCTGCGCAGCGTTGGTGATGGAGAGACGGTGGAGTTTGATGTTGTGGAAGGAGAGAAGGTGAGACTGAGTATGGAGAGGCCAGGCTGATCCATTCATGAGAACTGGCAAAGATAATACTTGGTCCATTCCCCCTTCTCAGGGCTTGTTCCCTCATCTCCTGTAGGGTGCCGAGGCAGCCAACGTGACCGGCCCAGGTGGTGTGCCAGTGAAAGGCAGCCGCTATGCCCCGAACCGCCGGCGCTTCCGCAGATTCATTCCCAGGCCCCGGCAGGCCCAGCAGCCGCTTCCACCACAGGATGCCACCAGAATGGAAGGGGCTGTTGAAATGGTCAGTGAGGGGGAGAGAGTCGACAATGCCATGCAGCAGCAGCAGCCCCGTCGGAGGCGTCCTCCACCATTCTTCTTTCGCCGGAGATTTGTGCGTGGGCCGCGTCCTCCAACCCAGCAGCAAGCTCAGCCAGCACAGGTGAGATCTGGTCTCAGGCATTGTAGGATAATAGGTGAGGTGTTGGAGTCTATAAGACAGCTGAGTTAATGGAGATTCCCAAACACTAAAACAGATAATCTATCTTAGAGGAGAATGATCAAAGTTGTGTTTGCCATAGGGCACAGAAGGTGCAGAACCTAAAGATGCCACCCAGCCAGAGGGAGACCAGCAACCGCCAGCCCAGCCTGGAGAGAGAGCACCAGCCCCTCGCTTTCGGCCTAGATACCGCAGGTAACAGAGGCCCACTTCACCTGGCTAGCAGGATGTCCTCTGTAGAGCATGAGTGAGATGCTATGGTGCTGATAGTGTGGAGGGGGCATCCCTCGGTACCTAACTGAGGCTGGGTCCTCCCCCAGTGTGGTGGCACTGGCAGCTGTTTGGCTGGGGCTCTAATTTTTCGTTCTGAGTCTTAAACGGGCCAGTCTCCTCCTAGTTCTAAAACAGCCCTGTGCAATTTAGTCTGCCCCTAAATTTTGTGGAATCATCATAAACAAAGGAGTAGAACTATTGCTGGCCTGAAATACATGAGTGAAAAAGCTCTGTTCAGTTAAATCGGGGAGTATTTTTGTCTATCAAGATCAGAAATGTTGTGTACTGTAAAGGGAGCCCTTCTGGGCTGCTTCCCAGTATCACTTTCAAACTATAGCAAGCTAGACTCCCAACCAGTTACTATCCCCTTCCACACTGTCTTAGTAGATCAGTGGTTCCCAAACTTTTTGGCATCATGCCCCCTTTTTGCTTTTTGAGAAACCCTCACCCTCTTCCCCCATAGCAAAACTTGTTGAGCAAAAAAAGAACTGCCTGGAGCCAAAAAATAGCAGCAAAACTGGGGGGGGGGGGGGGCTGGTTGCCTTGCGCCCCCCTGAAATTTCTTCACGCCCTCCAGGGGAACGCATGTAGTAGATCTTACTAAAGAGTTCATCAAAGCTTAATTCCTCTCTTCAGACAACGCCCTGAATGCAGGGAGGCCTGCCTGGAGGCCAGCTCAGGAGAAAAGCAGCTTTGAATTTTCCACCCCATCCATCATTACGCTAACAGGAAATTGTGTAGCCTGCCAGGGTTAGAGGGGTTAGTAAATGGGTATCTGCAAACTTCCCAGGCACTGATCTTGCACCAGCAATCTGAAAGTGTTACAGGCATCTCCCATTGTGCACGTAGCTGCTGTTTGAACACTGGGAACAGTTGTTGCTGAGGTTCACCCTGATGCACTAAAACAGCTGTATTGGAAGTTGAGTTAAATTTATCTCACTTTGTAATGGAAGGTGAGCCAGATATCTTCCTTCTATGGGGGAGTAATAGGCCAAAGTTTTCCTGAAAATGGAAGGAACCTCTAGTCTGTTGGAAATAATTCTCATGCATGTACTCACTTCACCTCATAGTGGGAATCAGCCTAACCATGGATGCATCAATACTAGTGTACCTGGTTTGGGATCTTAATGCCAGAGCAGAGCATATGATACAGCTTATGGTACCATAGTGAGTAGGGATTTGCCAACAGCCATTTAGTGCTGGCTGTACTAGGCCTATGTCTTCAGTGCAGGAGACATGGTACTGGCAGTCTTTACATTGATGTAGCTTTGGGAAGTTGCCTTGCTTAGCACCACATGCTGTTTGTGCAGCCCTTCCACGCAGTTATAATTTTTCATTAGGGGTGTGACTTTATAACTGTATCTAGACTAGCAGAGTTATACTTTGTTAGTAGTATAACTTGTATGTCAACGAGGCCTGAGACTGAGCACTCTCCTAGTTATCCCTCAGTATGGGGGGGCTGAATCTTTAGGTTTGGATGAGCAGTATGTGAACTGAATGAATTCTGGGGACTAAGATCTGCTTGAATCAGGACAAGAGCTGGTCAGAAAATGACTCAACTGTGTTTGTATCTTCTGTGGGGAAAGACCACAATATTTTAGTTTGGAAATGTTACTGTGGTGCATCATGGGGTTGGTTAGCTGGTGGCTCATATTCCCATAGTCTGCTCTGGAGTCACTGTGGAATGCAAGAATCTGAACAGAAGCCCAAACTACAACTCCCATGATGCACCTAGTGCATTATGGGAGATGTAGTTCAGCCAAGGAGTCCAGACCTTAGTTTGGAATGGATACATGAGACTGACAAACTACAATTCCATGATGCATATCAGGGGCATTTCAGAACTGATATATTGTGAAACTGGAAGCTTCTTGGATTTTGATTAAAACCCAGTTTTCCATCAGACATTTCAATGAGACCTTTTCTGATGGAAGACCCCTGGGTTCCAATCCCTGCTCTGGGCAAACTGCTGCTCCATGGCTAAAATTAAGTCTGGCTAATTTGGAAGGCTTAGGCTGCTGGTCACACATTAACATTCCCAGCACAGAGAAGGGTGCTGGTAAAAGGTTCTCTGGAAGGCCAGCCAAATCAGGTTAGGCTTTATGGTTCTGCTGTGGCCTGCTCATAACCCTCTTCCATTCCCTCACCTTGATCCAGACCCTTCCGTCCCCGTCCACCACAACAACCCACCACTGAAGGAGGGGACGGCGAGACCAAAGTGGCGCAAGCCCCTGCAGATGGCATCCGCCCTGAACCTCAGCGCCAGCGTAACAGACCTTACTTCCAGCGCAGACGGCAGCAAATCGGCACCCGGCCTGCAGCAGTGGAGGTGAGAGCTGGAATGATAATTCCCTGGTGGCGAGTACTTGGTACCAAAAACCAGGGAGACTCCCCTGCCTTTTCAGACAAGGGAACTGAGGGGGAAGGTGCATGGTGAAATAGTGGGTTAAGAGTGGCCCTGCAGTGCATTTTGGGATAGGAATCAGAGGCAGTAAACTGCGGGGGAGTTGCAGACACTATCCCATAGATTGCAACTGCCCAGCAGGCATGAACCTCTAAGTGACTGGAAACTGTCTAAGTGACTGGAAGTTCTCCATGGATCTGGAGGTGGATCCTACAACCCTAATCTTGAGGGGAATAAGATGTTTGTATGAGCTTTTCTGAGGATTAATTTCTCAAAGGTTCACTCACCATCCAGAGACTTGGCAGATATAGGTTCAAGTCCTGCTCTGCTCAACTTTGCACTTAGCTTCTCATTGCCTCAGTTTCCCTCATGGAGATTGTTGCACTGCCTCCCCTCAAAGGTGCTTTCCTTCCACCTTAAAATAGTGAAGCACTCAATGTTAGAGAAGTATGAGAGAGATGAATGGCATTGTGAAGCTTGAACCCTCGTGTTAAGATTACAAAGGCTCAGATCCCAGCTCTTGCACTAAGCTGCGATGCGCTTTGTCTTGTCATAATCTGTAGGATTGGCGCTAAACTAGGCCCTCCCACAGAGTAGGCACACATGGGCAGTCATATATGGCTCAGGGTCATGCTAATTCTGGCTGCCCAGGGCATTAGGAACATTGATTTGGCAAGTGGAAAAGGAGGAATCTCTGATAGCAGAATGCTGCCCAGCAATGTCTGCATGAAGCCAAATACACTCTAGCTCAAATTGAAGTTATCTGAGGTTTAAAGACTCCAGTGATGGAGAAGCTCCCACATCTTTCTCATGCAGCAGAATGGCTCTTGATGGATGCATGGCCCTGGCATATTGTCTGGTCCATACCTAGAGGTCTTGGGCATTGCTGCAAGGCAAGTAACAGAGAATTGGCCAACAGAGAATGAAGTCAGAGTTTTATTGCTTGCTTTCCTGTCGCCTGCAGCCTCACTGCCTTGGGCTGCAACCTTATCAGGCCCCACCTTGTGTTAACTTCCTTGATCTATGTGGTACAGCACCAGTGTGGGAGCAGTGTCCATGAATCTGTAGGTGGTGCTAAACCCTGAGTCAGCGGTGGACCAACACCCTAGCCAAGGGCATGCTGAAAGCTGGCTTTCACAGACTTAGATTTTTAGGGATCATTGATCTGATTTGGTATATAGATCTGGGGTAACTAAACTTGGGTCAGATTAAAGCATCTTCCCAAAAGGCCAGTTAGTCAGGATGTGAAGCCATCGAGATGAATGCCCTGCTTCCTTTTGGGAGTTGGAACCAATGGAGACTCCCCCGTACTGAAAAAATAGGTGCTTATTTCCCATATCAATTTGTCTGGCTTTCCACAGATAGTCTTTGATCTCTCAATTCAGGCTATATGTACTTAATTTTATCAAGTCTATGTAAATTACATCAGCAAACAGCTGCTGGAGTAATTGCATCATTTGTGCAGATCCATGCTTCACTCCTTGTGTCAGCAGTGCACATCCTAACCATGAGTGATTTTATTGATTGTCCTGTTAGTGTGGGGCATTGTGGGATGGCTCCTGAAAGACCATAACCGTTGCTATAGGCAGCTCAGTGTTCTGCATTGACCTGTCAGCCTGGAGTCTACTCATGTAGGTTGGGTTAAGTTGGTGTTGAAGTGCAGTTGTCAGTAGGAGCAATAATCAAGGGTAGATGCTCCTTCAACTAGACTCATGTTGACAACTCTCTAGCTTAGTCTGTATAGCTTCTTAAATTGTCTTAATATAATCTGAGAGCCCTGAGGTTCATTAGGCCCTGCAGAACAGCAGGGGGTGCTAGCTTCAAATTCCAGAGCATTACATTCTGCCTCCCTGCCACCTGTCAGTTTCAGATGGCACAACAACAGCAGCTGAGCTGTGCTGAACTGGCTTAGTGAGGCCTGCAGCCAGAAAGGTGCAATCCAGAATAGATGGACTTGTTAAAATGCCATATGATCTCTCCAATTTAGCCTGCTGTTCCCACCTCCAAAGAACAGCCTCCTCTGAGCTCTGCTGCTGGGGGGGACACTCCTGCTACCAGTACCCCGGCCACCACTCAAGAACCAGCGGTGGAAGCCAGCAAATCTGCTGCCCCAGCTCTGGAGGGTTCCTCCGAGCCACTGCCTGAGATCCAGCGACAGCTTGTGGATGTAAGTGCCTGGTGCCAAAATGGGCTCAGGGTATAACCTGGTGCTACAGTGTGGCAAAATTGAGCACTGCCAGGCAACAGCTGGACAAAAATAAGCTAATTTTGTGAGGCATAATAGTGACTCCCTGTTGCGTCTCTGGGAGTAGTTCCTGGTAGTTGGTGCTTCCTGGATCCACCTAATATGTGGTTACAGTGGGTGCTGTGCTCCCTGGCTGTAGGGTGTGGTTGGAGGTAGAAGAATGAGCACTAGTCAGGACTTGCACTAGGTGAAACCTGATCTGCCAAGCCGCCTGGCACAGTGCCCCCAGGAAATGGCAAGCCCTAGGAGAGATTAGCCAGTGTGTACAGGGTTCAGGCCAGCCAAGGGGGTGTGGCTGACATGGTCCCTCTGACTGGGTTGGGGTAGCACCACTCTGGGGTGCCTTAGGCAGCTGCCAAACAGCTTCCCTGTGAGGTTTACTCTTGAACCTCTTGTAATAAGCTCACATTGCTGCCACAAGAGGCCTCTTGACCATCAAGCATAGCATCACTGTAGGCAGTCTGGCTGCCAGTACACTCTGAAATCTGCCCTTTGCCCACAGTGCGGGGGCTTTCTCTCCCCAGGCCTTGCAACAGGTGCTCATGGGCCAGCCCCAGAAGCAGGAAAGCCTGTGGGGTTAGTCACTAAACTGGGGGTTCTCTCTGCAGACTTCAATGCCTGAGCCTGGAGGAGACCCTGCTCCAGCCCTGCTGGCATAATAATCCTGCACACTGAGGGGATGCAAAGAGCTGCCAGCTGGTAAGGCCTCTGAGGCAGGGGAAGGCATGAGTTCTGAGATGGGTTGGATGCCAGTGGCTTGATACTGTGCCTGGCATAATTGGGTGAGCAGATCTCTTCTGCTAACTAATAATCCATCTGGCCACCAAATGAAGGCTGGTAATCCAACCAATAGCTGTCTGGCTGTTACTTTCTGGCCATTGGCATAGCCTCACCCTATCATGCAGTGAAAAATATTTTAAGTTTCACATTTTCCTGCTCGGTTCTGGAGTCTTCTCTCTGTGGGGGCTACCTTATATTTTCAGAGTCTGACCCTTTTCTCTCTCCTGTAGGTATCAATCTTGCCTGTATCCCCAAGTTACCTCATACTGCAGAGACCCCAAACTCTACTTGGTCCTCCCTCCTCGCTGCTGATCGAAGCCAAGAATGTGAACCTCAAAGGGGGGACTCTACACAATCTTTAAGTTTAAAAAAGCTTTTTGAGGGGATAGTCTCCCCTTTCCACAGCTTCCCCAGTTCAGAGAAACTGGCTGTTCGAAACTTGAGTTAATTCCCTTCCTCCCCTGGATTTTTGAAGAGCACTTTTTGCAAACGTTATGTGCAGTTTGGGTGTCAGTAAAGGAATTTGCACAGACTTCTGCTGTCACTGGGTCTTTCCTGCTGCGCCAAGGAGCAGTTGTTGAGGGCATGAACGAGCTGCCTTTTGCAAAGACATGGGTCCCCCTCTTGCTTCCCCACCTTCTTAGATGTTGCCTGTAGTGTGTGGATTGAACTGGGACTCCTGGGTTTCTATTTTGGCTCTGGGAAGAGTCTGTGTGCTACGAGGTGGGGCCTACTGCAAGGATGACTTGCTGGGAATCATGATACCTGGGTGTCTGTTGCTGGAAGGTGCTCTGATACCCCACTGACATGTGGATGGCAGCATGTGTTTCACCATCAAAGGAACCCTGTATCCTCCCTATGATTGTAAAAGATCCTGCACTGCCTGGTCACAATGCTGTACCAATGGGGTCCAATGTAATGTTTACAGTAGCCAGTCCTCATGACCACAGCTCAAATGGTCTTCTCACAGGACTCTGAATAGCTCCCAGGATTGGACTGGATTTAAATAGGTAATCTAAAAATCAGATGTGGCCTCAGAACTAAGACCCTCCTACATAAATTACATTTAATTTAAATTAATGGAGATTGCCTATCTCCTAGAACTGGTAGGGACCTTCAAAGGTCAGAGTCCAGTCCCCTGCCTCCACAGCAGGACCAAGTACCATCCCTGACAAATATTTGCCCCAAATCCCTAAATGGCCTCTGCAAGGAGTGAACTCACAACCCTGAGTATAGCAGGCTAATGCTCAAACCACTGAGCTATCTTCTCTCCTTCCCCTGCCTGACTTGTGAGGGAGAGCTTGGTTTAAACCAGCTGACCTATCTGGTAGTGCAGGGTTTTTAATAGCATGGAACAGTTTGGTGACTAGACAGTCTTGCTTGAAAAGACAGCTCATCCCTTGTTTGAGCAAGATTCATTAAGACATCACTGGGGCCAGAGTCCAGGCAGGCTTCTGCCAATCTAATTCACAAGTGAAGAGATCTCCGTCTCCAGCCTCTGATTCAGCACAAGAGCTAGAATTGAATGTAACCCTTGTGCCACCAAGTAGCTGGTAAATATCATGGAAAAAGCTGATATGGGATGGGGGGAGTATTCCCATCCCACTAGTTACATTCAAAAACCTTTACAACCCTAAATTTTTGTCATCCAATCTCAGTTTTTCAGGCCAAAAACTTTTTTGCCTGTCCTCTATATGATTATCTTAAATTACAAAATACACTAGATTCCCCCTCCTTTACAAACTGGTGATTGCTCAGCTCCACAATTCAGAAAATTGTCTCAAATGACAGCAGAGGAACAGTGCATAAACTAGAACACCATGCACTGTATCTTTCTTGTTCCTCAGATCACTGCAGAGCGGATTCCAATGTGTCCATCCTCTAGGGTCACCAAATCCAGTCCTCTGCATTCATAGCAGGACCAAGCACCATCTCTAGATTATCCCTGCTAGGTATTTGTCTAACCTGCTCTTAAAAATGTCCAATAATGGAGAATCCCCAACCTCTAGTGCTTAATCA